CTTCATTCAGTCTGTTTAAATATGTTGAGCTCTTTTTTATATCTTTATTTATTTTTATGTGGTGCTGAGGATCGAACCCAGTGCCTCATACGTGTGAGGTGGGTGCTCTACCACTGAGCTACAGCCCCAGCCCAAATATGTTGAGCTCTTATAGTGAATTTTTTCACCCTTAGTATATTTTTTCACTTCAAATTTCCATTTTTGTATACTTTCTATTTATTGATGGCCTCTATTTGATGCAATATTAATTTTAGACCTTCTCTTATTTATTTAATACTAGTTTTGTTAGTTCTGTGAAAATTTATAGTGGCTATTTAGATTCTTTTTCCATTAAATGTAATATTTGATTGCTTTTACAAGCCTTGTGGATTACCAGCTTCTTTTTCTGATGAATTGGTTGTACTTTTTGCCTCTCTCATGATTTTTTGTCATTGTTTAAAACTTGCCATTTAAACATGATACATAATGTCCACTCTGCATCCTCACTTGCTCATCCTTGGGGCTTGATATCATCTATTGTTTATTATTATTGTCTCACTGGACTCTGTAGGTGAAGTGTGTGTCCCCTGCACTGTGAAAATTCAGATACTGCTCTTTAGAGGGTGAATCTTTGTGTGCAGCATGCACATAGTCACCTGGTATGACTGTGGTTTTAGCAGAGGTCCTATTATCTCTTTCTTTAATCATATCTCCCTATGAGGTTCCACAAATGGGGGCTGATCCTCCATTGTTGTATACAACATCCTGGGAATAACTTGTCCCATAGTCATATTCAATTAAATTCAGATATGAAGGCATAGTGTTTAGGACAATGTTTGATGCTCCTTTGGACCCCGGACAGGCTCCTCCTACTATTCTCTCTCCTGGGTTCTCTTGAGCCAACCAGCCACCAATCTCTACTTAGTTACCTTTCATCAAAATCTTCACTTGTTGTGAGATAACTATTAGATTTGAGTTTCTCTATACTCAGTGACAAATAAGGTTACTGTTTTTTAGGAAGTCCTTTGATTCTCACTGTTCTTAACACCTTTCTTTCCCCCCAGGAAACATCTTTGAGACTAGATTGTAAGACTAGGAGGTGGGAACTGTGATTCTCACCAAGCAACACTTCTGCTTTAGGAGTTAGCACTGGGAAGAGACAGTAGGCTCTGCTCTTCTCAGCTGTCCTTTCTATGTGGAACAGCTGCCTTATAAATCAACAGAAGGCAAGAATGACCAGGGCACCAGTCTTTTTACTGTGCCATGCCCAAAGTTAAACCTATGTATAAGGACTGGATGATAGAAGGTATTCCCCAAACTTTTGGCCATATTCATCTGAAATTTAGCATCTGTAACACATAGCTAGGAACATAAAAAATGTTATAGGATGGACACTCCTGGTAAGTAACACAACCTCAAAGAGGAGGTGGGGTGGGGACAGAATTCTGTATTTGTGGCCACATCTGCCTGGAATGGATAATAAGTAATATGGAAGGCACAATGTCTGAGAAGGTTGTGATTCAAAGGCTAGGCAAGAGATTCTCATGCTCCTTACCAGGTTTTGGTATATTTTCTTGAATGAATGTTTCATTATTTGCCTTTAGCTCAATACCCAAAGATATTAAAATGGATTTTCTTAACATAAAATTTTTGCCATGCATGCTTATTCTACCAGGGAAATGATCCATGGAAATTCTCATGCTGCAGTTCTAGAAGTGGACCTTTGCTATAGATTTTTTATAGCTATTCCATATTGACTAGAAACAGTTTCCCTTCTATTTCCAGTTTGCTAAATTTTTACCATAAATTTATATTGAATTTCATCAAGTATTTTTTCTGCATTATTGATATGATTATATAATTCTTCTTTAATCTTTTTATATCATCTACTGCAATTAAATATTAAATCAGCCTTAAATGCCTGGAGTAAATGTCACTTCAACATGGTATATAAAAAGCTTTTTTTAATGAGACATAATAGAGCATGTTCAAAGACTGATCAGGATCACACAGTACAAGAAAAATATTAATGACATACAGACAAGGAGAGTAATGCAGAATGAAAACTACTAACTAGGAGGCTGGGTACTCATTTCACCAAGGTTCTGATACTATCTGAAAACTTGAGTTAAAATTTTATGGCCATTTAAACTCTTCATAGCTCCTATTTCTGTCATCTTAGAACCAAAATGCAAATACTTTTTGAATAGTTTAATTCTTCATTTTGAATTTTCCTGGCATTTTAGTTTCCCTCTAAAATGTTCCTTTGTGTTAGAATCTACATCCTGCCACTTAGTAACTGTTATGTATGGCAATGCACATTGCTCTATTTTTCAGTTTTTAAAATTTAACTTAAATTTGTTTTCAAAGGATCATATAAATTATACTTGTTAATGGGGTGACAGGTGAGGTTTGGAATCATATGTATATTGGATAATGTATAAATCAGATTAAACACATGTAGCTCCTCAGACCTTAATTATTTATTTATAATAGAAGCTTTCTTTTTTTAAGATAATTTATGTACATTTATGGCTTTATACAATTATAGCAAAGATTGTTCTTGTGTCTGTAAGTACATCAGCATCATCAGGCACTTCTCAGAGGGTATCAGAACAGGGACATGGAATCTGTACTGTTACTAAACTCATGTGGAAATGCGGGAGGGCGTGACTATCCTGACCGGACTTACATGGCCACCCTGGCCACAGTGCCAGGCTGGGCCCCACCTTAAGAAGAGGCCAATTTTAATGCCAAGCTATTTGTTTGCATAAACCACACTGTACTTTTAACTGAATGATTATTCCCAAACTGAAACCACTAGAGAAACTTCTAATTTTAAAATCAGTTATAAATTAAGAACTCTTAAGAACTAGAAGAATTTCAAGTTTGGGGTGGGAGCCTGAGGGAATATTGGTAACATATACTGAGCAGCTGAACAAGTCCAAATTGTACACCTTTGGAGAACTATTTCCATTTTAAGTATCCTTATCCTTTTCTTGGCATGTTCCACTGATTTACTGCTAACTGAGATACAATTTGCTAATTAACCTAGACTTTGTCAGTTTGTCAAAGCAGAACTTTCCAAGTAATGCATCTATTACCTAAATATAGTCCATACATCTATATTACAGAAACAATACATCTTTATATTTAAAATATCTGAATAGCTCTATAATACAATATGCTTTTAATAACAGTACAAACCAGAGGAAATAAATCAAACGAAGCTGCATAGGTGATATCATTTGCACATTTCACAAAGCAATCATGTACAATAATATACTAATTATTCCAGAAAGTCAGTATTCTTACAGAAAAAGAACTCCCGGAGGCCACATGATGTTTACTTTCCAAATAGACAAGATGCTTTTCCCTGGACTTTCGGTACACAGAGAGGTGTCCAGGATTTATATTTGGGCTTTAACACCAAGAAAAATGGGGCATGGGTTGTAGAGTGAGCAGGACAAACTCAGGAGGAAGAAATACCTTCCAAAAGTCATTCTACGAAGTAGTAAGAGTTTACAGTGATTTCAGCTGTAGATGCCTCTGCAATGAATGCCAAGGCTCCCTCTGTAATGGTGAAGCGATGGTATGTGAGGGAAGGAAAATGAGAAGACACAGGAACAGAAATGAGCACCCGAGTTCTTCGACACCAACAAGTTCTATTATGTATTCAGGAGGCTCTGCTTGGGGGAAACTAAGCTTTCTAAAACAAGCCATGTTTTGGAGTGCCCGAACAGAAAATGGTCAGAGGGGTGGCTGCTTAGAGTGTTTGGAACAGTAAAATTCACAGTGGGAAGCTTACAACAGAGCCAGCCTACTGCTGGAAATCGATCATGAACACATATGTTCTTGTTAAATGTGCAGGAAAAATGAAGCCAATGAAGATGCAATTAACATACTAGGAAAAAAGCAAGGGTGGTTTAGGCTGTGTGCACAGAAACCAGAGCCTTCTCAAGAAAGCAAAAGGAAAACTGTGTGCACCTGTCTCTTTCTGGGATGATTTCAGACTTTCCACATGATTTACATGATTTAAAACAGACTGAATGGGAGGTGAAGCCAATTAACCTAGTCTATCAGATTCAGGTAACTGGAAAGTATTAAAACGTAATGCTCACAGTTATAGTTTAGGTTGCTAAAGGCTGAAGAAATTGTCAAATTCTTTACTTAAACTAAAGCTTTTAAAATAAATTCAAATATACAGCTTACAGATGGTTTTCCAATTAATTGCCCCAATTTTTAAACAAGTTCTATTCCATCTGGTTGTCATTTGTACTTATGAACATAAAGCATTCTAAAAAAATCACTTAAGTCCCACTTTTAAAACTTCTTCCCTTCAACTTTGCAGGACAGAAGAGAAAGGGACAGAGTGAAGACTGACATGATTCCTCAAGACAGAGCTACAAAATCAACCATCAGGACCGAAATCAGAGCAGTTATAAGGAACATTTTTACTGAAGCATAACTCAAAAAGGTTAAGCTAAAAGAAACCCCAAATTTGACAAAAGAGTATTATTTTTAGATGCAGGTGCCCCTTCTGATTTCCAAACATTATGAGGCCTCCCCGGAGTAACTGCAACGATGCCACACACAGGCATCTATCAGAAGACTGGACTCTATGTGGCACACATAGTTCACAGGGCAAGATAAGGTGAAATTTCTTAAAAATACATACATAAAAATATATTAAGTTCTTCTAAATACAAAACACAAAGTAAGTGTCCATAACTATACATCACTTTCCTGCCCAAACAGGGCCAGAAACGTTGAGTATGCAGGTACTAATTACAATGATTTAAGATTAGTCAGAAACATCACCAAGTAGCATCCCAAGTGTACAAACCAGTTAAGCACGTATAAAATTAGTACTAATCCAGTTAGAAATACAAAATGAAAATCATGAGTGCTGCCCCCAATACCTGTGATTCCACAAATTTACAAGCAGACAATGTAACAAAGTAGACTCTAGTTTTAAGAAAACATTACAGTTCAATATCTATTCCAAAAATGATCTCAAGTTGCAACAATAACATCAAAAATCATTTATCTGGAAATTAGAACCATTTTAAGTGTTTGTACAAATTCGCAAATAACAAAATAAACAACAACAACAACAAAAATAGAAAAGACCTGTACAAGGCTGGTATTTAATCTATTTCCCCCCCAAAGTTTGATAAGTCCATTAATTCAGCAGATTGATAACAGGCTACTTGGTTCTCATGTGAATCCTGTGGCATGTGAACAGGTCCAAAGCTGTTTAATGGAGGTGCAGAATGAAGATCTTAGTTCTTTGTGATCACTTCAGCAGAACACAGGTGGTACAAACAAAAGTTCAACTTATCAAGACATGAGACCATTACAGTATTACAAAAAGAGTATAAACTTTCCTTGGACCAAATGGATATTCCAAAAAACAAAAACAAAACAACAACAAACCAAAAACACACAGATACAATTCTGTATCTACTGCTTATATACAAAACTTGAAAGCACACCAGGATCTGAAAGTCTTTTCTGCAATTATATGGTGTAGTGAGTTTGGCACTTCATTGTAATGAAATTTCCAATGGCACAGTCCTTATCTACAGCAGCACATAACCTGCAAACACTGGGCAAACATCCTGTACAGGAAAAGTATCTTTGCTGCCAAGTCTGACGAAAGGAAAAAAGGATTTGTGTGTGTGTGTGTGTGTGTGTGTGTTAAATCAAGAAAACTAAAGGAGGGGTGAAGGACATCTTTGGACTGCTTCTCTCAGTTCCTGCTGTCAGACAATCTGAAGTACGTTCATAAGTGTAGCCTGCTCACTAACTCAGCCTGACACCCAGCTGTGTGTCGTCGTCTTGACACCGTGCGGGAAGCTTTGGTTGGGCAACACATTGTCAAAGTTAAAATCCAAGGAAGGTATCTCCATCCATGAGGTCGTTCCGAATTATGGATTCCATGTCACAGTCCAAGCGCTCAATAAACATGCCGTCCAAGTCACTGGGGAGCTTCTCCTGGTGGAGAACGCCCATCCTGCCATAGCCATTGCAGCTGCTCACTGAGGAGTAGCCACCCACGGCACTCATCTGCATGTGGTGGGGCAGAGGCACTTGTAAAGGTGTCTTCACTGGGGTCAGGCGGTTCATACCCGAGGTGTGAGGCATGGTGTTCACCGAGTGGGGCAGGGCACGCCCATTAACTGCAGATGTTTGCTGGGCATGTCCAGGGTGGGTATGGGAGCTGGGATTCAACATTTTATTATGAGATGCCTGGTTGCCATAGGCTGGCATGACTGAATTAGGACCCAACATCACATTCTGGCCCAGAACCCTGCTGTTGGGTTGGGCCACCCCAGGATCAACTGATGACATAATGTCATTATGGGGAGGAGAATCAGAAGTAAGTAACTCCTTCAAGAGTCCCTGTGCACAGTTAAACTGATTCAATCCTCCATAGCTTGATTTGTTGTCCTGCAGTGTTTGCATAGGCATCTGGGACAAAGGGCTCATGCTGGACTGGCCATATGTATATTTTTGGTAGTTTGGACTGGGTGAGTTCAGACTGGTGCTTGGTGGTGCAAACGAGTAGCATGGTGTCTGCTGCATCATGCTGCCAGGTGATGACTGGGTTGAAACAGTTAATGACGTTGGGGATGACAGAAGATTGAGATTATCCAAAAGGTTTTCCATGTTTTCAGGATTGCTTATCTCAGACAGACTGGGCAGAGTAGAAGCCATCTTTGAGGCAGATGGTGGGTACACCAGAGAATGCACATCCCCATCTCCCAGATCATCTTGTTCCGTCATAATGGGAGAAAGTCTCCCACTAATAGTACTAGCATTAGAGCTAGTTCGAGGGCGAAAGGTACTCCAGTTATCGAAGTCATCGTTGCTGTGGGAGCCAGGGCTCGCAGGCCACTTGGAAAACTGAGATCCAGGGCTGTCGCCAGCACCCTCCTGGCCAGACTGAAGGGATGCTTTTTTCTTGGCGGCTCGGCCTCGGCTCTTAGCAAATTTACTGTTGTTGTCCATGGATGCAGCTCTTCTCCTGGGGGATTTTCCACTCTTGCCTCCCTCTGGATTGAGCATCCACCAAGAACTTTTTCCAGTTCCTTCATACTGCACACGTATGAACTTGCTGTGTAGAGACAGATTATGACAAATTGAATTCCCTAATTAAGCTTAGCTGGTTCCTTGATGTTTCTTTTTTGTTTAGGATGGAAGTGATGAGGTGTTGAGTCTATAATAGAAGCTTTCAAAATCATTTCTTCTGGGTCTTTTGAGTTGTATGATTCATTTTGTTATCTATAGTTATAACCTGAGTCTACTTTGTGCTTTGAGTATAATCCTTGCTGCTCAGCCTCAGGTGATTTATTTAAAAACTAACATGTTTTTTCTCTCTTCTCTTTTTTCTTTCTTTCTCTTTCTTTTCTCCTTCGTCCCAACTCATGTTGCATAACATCAGGGAAAACAAAACTAACATTTTTTTTTTTTTAATTCCTGGCTAAGCTATTCTGTCCTTCACGGCTCCAAAGAATATAAATGCCCACAAGAATAAACAAACTCCAAACCTGGGAACTAGAGCAAAGGCTCTCTCAAGTACACCCATTAGACACTAACTAATTTTACCTACTGGTAATATTTGTATTCTTTTAAAAGGCCTATATCCTCACAGACCTTTGCTAGCAAATCAATAAGACTTTTTGTTTACCTCAAAATGGTTTGGCAATTCAGGGTATTGTTTTATATAAATTTTAGGATTACTTTGGAATTCTGTGAAGAAACTCATTGATATTTCGATGAAGATTGCATTGAATCTGTAGATTGCTTTGTCTAATATGGAAATGTTTGACAATATTGATTCTTCTGACCCATGAACAATTTTTTTATGTGTCTGCTTCAATTTCTTTCATCAATGTTTTATAATTTTCATTGTGTATATCCTTGACATCTGGGGGTTAATTTATATTGAGGTATTTATTTCATAGCTATTATCAATAGGATTTCTTTCTTGATTTATATTTGAGATAATTTACTATGAGCATTTGGCAGTGCTATTGATTTTTGTATGTTGATCTTGTACCTTGCAACTTTCCTGTATTCATTTAACTTGTTCTAGAAGCTTTTTGATGAAGACTTTGTGGTTTTCTAGGTACCAAATTATGCCATCTGCAAACAGTTTCAGTTTAACTTCCTCTTTTCCAATTTGGATATCTTTATTTCTTTCTCTTGCCTAATTCTATGGCTAGGACTTCCAGCACTATGTTGAATAAAAGTGGTGGGAGTGGATATCCTTACCTTGTTTTGACCTTAGAAAGTTTTCAGCTATTCACCATTGAGTAAAAAGTTATGTCTGCTTATTATAAATGTTCTTTCTTGAGTTGAAGTAAATTATTCCATACTCTTAATTCTCTTTTTTAAGTATATATTAATATTCAATATGCTTATTTACAACAACTTCAATCCCTTAAAACCTTAACATTTATAATGAGGAAGACCAGTTTACCTGACCATTTTTAATTCATTTATCTGTTCCTTTCATATAAACAACTCTATATTTGGATTATGCGCTTATGTTGGTATTTCTTGATTTTTGCCTTTTAAAAACTATGAAACTTGAAATGAAAAACAGTATAATGTGCACAGTAATTCTCTAGATCTCTATCAGAGCATTTACCTTGATGACAATTGTCATATATTCAAAATGCAGTGGTAACATTACTATGGTTATGTACATAGTGGATACTGTGCTGCTCATTTGTTAAAAGAGGGGCTGGGCTCTTTCTCCTAAACATCAGGGCCAGTCTTAGCCATCCCACTTCACCCTCTCTTGGAGTGCTGTGATCCCAGGTGCATCAGAGCTTCTGCAGGAGCTTTGTGTGGTGACTGATAAAGTTGAATATTAAGTTTAATGACCCAAGAATTTCAGAAACACCTACCCAAGAGAAAAAGAGGCTCAGTGGGAATACAAAGGAGAAAAAAGAATAGAGAATGCTTCTCTAAGTGGAGAATGATGTGGAGAAGATGAGGAAATGAGCAGTAATAGATATGAGATGAGAAGAAGAGAAAGTGAGGTAACAGAGGAGATGCAAAAGGAAGGAAAGTGCTATAGAAAACAGCTAAGGTTGATCTCAAGTGTGTTACATTACACAAGTGAATAAGTAGGTAAAACTTTATTGACACATATGAGATTTTTATACCTAAGTCATGTGTATAACATCTTAATTTTTAAGAATTTATCAAGCTTAAGCTTATCACTGAAGCTTGATAAATTCTTAAAAATTAAGACCATTATCATTCAGTGATAATGGTCCGAGAGCTGAATGATCCCTGGTAACTAGGAAGAAGAGTTAAGGAGACTCCATTCATATTAACTGGAAGCGAAGTAAAAGCAAACAAAACATGAAAAAATTATGTTTCCCCACTCCTTGCAAAAGAAGTGTCAAATTCCAATTCTTTTTCTGTCTTCATGTATGACTGCTGTCTTCATTTATTTTGTATACTTTACACATATTAATATATATACACATATCTACACACATATATATGAGATTCTGATACAAAGCAATATTTTGCTATACAAAATAGCAAACAATACAATTTAAAGGGTTTTTTTTTTCTTTTCTTAATTTAACTTTAGAATAGAAAATACTAAAGATTCCTTTGGTTGCTAGTCTTAGAAAAAAAATCAGAGTCACTGAGGATCATTAAATCTGTGCATGGCTTTGTTACTTTTAACTTTAACTGATTATCTGAGGTAATTTGTGTAAATTAACAATACCCTGTGAAATGTTTAGGAGACCAGAATATTCACTGGAGGCTTTATTAAAAGTTTGGCCCTTGGAGACTGGGAATTGAATAAGTTCTATAACTGCAAGTAGGTTTTCTTTCTTTGCAAACAATGCACAATGGGCATTATTAGGGAATAGAGATCTCTGGTAAAGAAACCTTCCAAGTGACAGAATGAGAAGAGCATTTGTACTGAGGCATCCCTTTGGGCCAGCGACATCATTAGCAGGAAGTGATGGAGTCTGTTCTTCACGGACTGTACTTTCATAATATGAGGGAACAAGAATCAGAGAAAACCTAGTAAATTGATAGCCAACATTTAATTAAAGAAAAAAACAACAATCCAACCTTAGAAAAATCACCCTGGTGCCCTGCCCTTTGATATTCTATGTCAAATGTTTGTTTCTCAAAGGACCTTGGCATTCTTCACCTTTGGAATGGTTTGGCTCTTCCAGAGAAAGACCTTCAAGCACCTTTGGCAATTTCCTCTGAGAACCACCAAGTCATAATAATTTGGTCAATAAATAAATAAATATTCCTTACCTTTTCTTTTATAAAACATTGTGAAGTAAATAAAGTAACTAAAAAAAATACTCAGCAACAATACAAATGGCTGCTTTTATAGAGTACTTAAGCCTTTTAAGTATTGCTAAATAGGAACAAAAACCCAAAGCTTCACCTTAAGGAGATAGCATGCCAGTGTGGCAAGTAAGGTTAGAATAAGAATATGTGAGCAACAATACTAGAGAATATGTTGGATGTTCCCCCACTTAATTTGAGCTCATCCAAAAGCAAACACTGAGATGGAGATCCAAGAGGGGGATCTCTGGGAGGTAACCCCAAGAACCATGAAGGATGCAGAGTGAGACAAAGGAAGGAAGAAAACAAATAAATATTGTCTTAATGAACAGGTTGCATCTGTAAGAAGCAGATACCTTCTGAAACACAGTGTAAAACAACTCTCAATTGACCAACCAAGGAATAAGAAAGTCCAAAATGCTTATTGTAATTCATTTGATCTCAAAGCCTTAGCTTTTAAGTTAATTCCCCTGGGAAGGTTTCCCTGTCCCCATGCCCAAACTAAGGCAAGTCCACCAATTATATGTTTCTAGACTTTTCTTCACAATATAGTTATCATGATTTTTTAAATGTGTTTTTATCCACTACAAACAATAAGCACCAGGGGAGCAGAGACTATGCTAGACTTGCTCACTGCCTATCCCAAGAGACTAGCACAGTGCACAGTGCCTAGTGGCCCATTGACACTCTATTTTTAATAAAGGCATGAAAGAATATTTTAGTGAATATGTTAGTCAGTTTTCATCACTGTCACAAATTACCTGGAAAAAAAACCTAAAGGGTGAAAGATTTATTTTGGCTCATGATTTCAAAGGTTCCATCTATGATCAGGGGCTCCATTGTTGGGGTCTGAGGTAAGACAGAATGTCATGGTGGAAGGAAAGCTTCTGTCCTCATGGCAGCCAGGAAGCAGAGAGAGAAAGAGAGAAGAACAGGGGTGGGAACATGATCTATCCTTCAAGGACACATCCCCAGTGGCCTATTTTCTCTTAAAGTTTCAACCAGTTTGCAATAATGCCATCAAATTATGTATCATCAATGGATTAATTCTCCTATGGGGTTAGTGCCCTCATGATCCAATCACTTACTAAAAGCCTCTTCTCTGCAAATTGATGCATTGGGAACCAATTCTTCAACACAATTCTTCTGTTTACTGTAGCAGTAAACAGAGTATAGAAACTAGAATAGTGTGTCTCTTTCTTCTTCCCATTATCTGGTTAACTCCAAAGTATGCTGTAGCCTCATCTTCAAGGATGCTCGTCCTGACCCATCTCCTATATCCTGTGACAGCCAGTCAGAAGGGAAAGTTCCTCTACACATGAGGTAATTTCCCTTTCTCTTTAAGAACCAGCTATATGCCATTGCAAATTGTTGTTTTCTAATACCTAAGATCCAGTCAGAGAGGAAACTTCAACAAATGCTCATGTTGAAATGAAGAGAAGCAGTTTTAAAAATGAATGTTTAAACTGTCCAGTTTTCCAGAGAGCTCAAGGACAACAAAGGTTATGGAAAGATAATTGAACATGATGAGTAGGCCACCTGGATAATGAAGTTTTTATGATATGATTGGAATTAAGCAAGGTTGCAGGCAATTAAAGAGAGTTAATGAAAGCAGCAGGCATAGACTGCTTTTTAAATTTTTTTAATACTAAAACTCGAGAAAAATGAGACATAAACTAAAAGGGTTGGCAGTAAGGCCTATCCACTTTTTGTCAAAATAGGGCAGAACTATACATCTTTGGGGAAAAAAATCTCTTTTACAATGGCAAGTCTAAAGTTAGTTAAATCTTTTAACTA